GGGGGGGGCAGCCCAAGGGGGTGGGAGAGGGTCTGGCCCATTCTACGCCTGGGCTGGGATTGGTCCCGCCGGCGCAGTGTAGCAGGAAGCTCTCCACACACTCACCGGACCTGACTAGAATGGGTCTGGGGGTTCCCGGAAGTCGGCAGAAATTCCTACTCAGCGGGAGGGGTGGGGGAGGTAGGGCGGAGTGGTTGGGCGCGGCCTGAGGGGGTGGAAGAGGGTCCGGCCCACGCTGTGCCTGGGCTAGGACTGATCCCTCCGGTGCAGGGTAGCAGGAAGCTCTCCACACACTCACCAGACCTGGGCTAGGACTGGGTCTAGAACTCACCTTTTAAAAAAGGGCTTAGTGGTGTGTTCTAATTGACTCCGTTAAAAGACTGTTTTCAAAATTGGCCAGTAAAGAGCTCATATGTGGTAAAACTAGAATTGTTTTGTATTTCATTTCAGCTCTGTCTCTTTTATAGAACATCTGAACATACTGCTGTTTGGATTGGCACAGCGGCTGCACAGAGCTCTTTCGAAGGTTGACATAAAATTTTACACATCCTCCAAAGAAGAGATACCAAAGAACACAGAAAGTAGCTTGCTGTGCTGCCACCACAGGCAGCCTGCGACCCTGATCATGGCTAAGAAGGAGGGGCCGAATAAGGTACGGGTACCTCACCCCTCGCCCGGGACTAGTGTGGGCATGGTTAATGTGGTGGACTGGATTGGGAGGCTGAGTTAGTGTCTTTCTTTTCTTTTTTTTTTTTTTTAAGGTTTCAAAAATTTGGGCTGGGGAGATGGCTCAGTAGAATCAGTGCTTCCTTTTAAGCACAAGAATCTGAGTTCAATCTCTGATTCTGCCAAAAAAAAAGAAAAAAAAAAGCCAACCAACCAACCAACCAAAAAAACCCCAAAAACTTATTGATTCAATAGTTCTGATCGGGCTGATGAGATGGATCAGTGGTCTAAAGCACCTACTTAGAACAAGCTTAGCAAAACACAGGGACCGCAGTTCAATCCCCCAGCACCACATGCCAGCCAGCCCCGCCCCCTGGTTGGCTGAGCTGGCCACACACACACACACACACACACACACACATAAATAAAATTAAAAAGATAATAAAATAAATAAATTTTAAGGGCTGGTGAGATGGTTCAGTGGTCTAAAGCACCTACTTAGAACAAGCTAAGCTAAGCAAAACACAGGGACCACGGTTCAATCCCCAGCACCACATGCCAGCCAGGCCCGCCCCCTGGTGGGCTGAGCTGGCCACACACACACTAAATAAATAAATAAATATTTAAAAAAAAAAAATAAATTTTAAAAAATAGTTCTGATCACAGAAAAAAAGATTCCTGATTAAGCGTATTCCACTGTCCAGGTAATGGTTATTTTAAAAACTTTATTCAGTATTGTCTTGACCATGATTAAAAGAGGACATCGTCTTGTGATCTCTCAGAGGGTAAAAGTGTTGCAGCTCAGGTGCAACTCCTTATAGTCCTAGATTGGTCCTCCTCCTGTGTCTCCTCTTGGAGTTGTACTTCTCTTCATATGAATCCACTGAGGATTGGGGCAATTCTGCTTTTGCTTCTTGGCCAAGAATTGTTTGATTCTGAAAGTCTTGTGAGAAGCCATGGTTAGGGTAGGAGGTGAGAGCACGCACCCAATCCTAGACTGAAGCAGAAGAGAGCTAGCACCTTTCTATCTGAGGCCTTGATAGCTGATATGGGAGAAATGCTCACCTTTTATGAAAAGAATGATGTGTACACTAGGCCACAAAAGAGTGCAGATCAGCCTTCAGGTTTCTTCTAGGCTGGGGTGTAGCTTGGTCAGAAGGGCTCTGGCCTAGCATGCATGAATCCCTGGCTCAAAACCCCAGGACCACAATAAAGCAAAGAATTGCTTGTAATCTCTAGTACTCACGAGGCTGAGGCAGGAGGACTGACGTAGATTCAAAGGCAGTCTGGGATACATACTGAGTTCAAGGCCAGTCAGGACTACACAGTGAGACCCCATCTCAAAGCCCCAAAAGAACCCCTCCAAAACCAATAATAAAAAAGAGCTTATTACATAGTAGTGGACAGAGACATAGAAAAGAAACATTTATGTCCTCTTGGAATTGATAGGAGTGCTGTGCCCATGTTAGAGTGTTACCCCCAAGAGAGACTGACCAGTGCAGCGAGAAGTGTGGAGAAAAGAGCTGAGGTGGGTTAGGTGCAGGCACCAACTCCCCTGCTCCCCACAGTGAATTTATGGACTGCAGACAGACTCCAGGGTTGGAAATCTAAAAACAAGGGAAGGTTGCAGCCGGTCTGCACGCAACCCTCACCTTGAGTGATTCACAGGCCTGAGGAGGAAGCAGCAGCCCGCTGAGTGACCGGTTGCCGACAACTCAGGTCAGATTACACTTGGAATCGTGCTGTCTGTTAGCCATACACTGTGAGCCTGTGCTTCACACTATAACAACACTGTGCTGTTTTCGTAGCTCACACATTGCCTTCCTCATTTCTTGATAGATAAGTTGACTTTAAATTTGTTTGTCAGGCTGGGGAGATAGCTCAGCGATCTAAGTGTCTGCCTGGCAAGTACAATGACCTGGGTTTGATCCCTGGTACTGCATGCTGTGCTGATCCCTACACTGTGCCAGCCCCTGAGACCAGGCGTGGTGGCATATGCCTATAATCCCAGTGTTGGGGAGGCTGAGACAGGAGGATCACTACGAGTCTGAGCTCTGTAGTGAGACCCTATACCAAATACATAAATAAAGATAAATAAGAAATAAATTTGGTTGTCAGCCAGGTGTGGTGGTACATCCCTATAATTCCAGCACTTGGGAGGCTGAGGCCAGCCTGGGTTATAGAGCTAGACTCTGTCCTAACAAACAAATAAAAGAAAATTTAATTGTCAAAGCAAGCACTCATAAGTAATAGCGTAACCAGATAATGAATCTACTACAGCCAAATTGTATTAATTTAAGATTACTTGATAAGATGACTGCATAGGCCTATGATGTTCTTGGTATAAAGTTCTGTAACTAGGGCTGGGGAGGTAGCTTGCCAGTCTAAGCACCTGCCTGGCAAGCACAAGGACCTGAGTTTGATCCCCAGTACTGATGCCTTGCCGCCCCTAGAACCCCAGGCATGCAATGCCGGCCATCAAAACCAGGCGTGGTGGTGCATGCCTATAATCCCAGTGCTGGGGAGGCTAAGACAGGAGGATCACTATGAGTCTGAGCTGCATAGGGAGATGCTATACCAAGTAAATAAATAAATAAAAGATTAAAAAAACAAAGTTACAGAGCAGAAAATCGATCATTAATTGAATTTTATTTATTTTTCTTTTTTTTCCATAATTTTATTGAGAAACAAATAGCAATGAGACAGTTTCAAACCAAATTGGTAGGACAGTTTCAATAATTAACACATTGCATACATTCTTCCTAGTGGTTAATTGCTGTACAAGATGCAGATGAATTTTATTTTAAAATATTATACTGTTGAGTGCATGCACATGGAAAAGGAAAGAAATATACAGGTGTTGTGTGGAGTTTTTTCCGGCTAGATTTCAACTTGTCCAGTGCACAGTGTTTCTCCAGTGAATTAGAAAAAATACATTTTATGTGTACAGGAAGGGTATTGGTTTTGAGTGTTGACTAGTCTAGCGATCTGTTGGTAGAATTATTGGGGTCTTCTTTGTAGAGTATTATATCATTCATGAATAATGGTTATTTATTTATTTGTGTGTTTGTGTGTGTGTGTGTGTGTGTGTGTGGCCAGCTCAGCCCACCAGGGGGCGGGGCTGGCTGGTATGTGGATTGAACCGGGGTCCCTGTGCTTTGCTAAGCTTGTTCTGAGTTGGTGCTTTAGACCACTGAGCCATCTCACCAGCCCCGAATAATGGTTATTTAACTTTTTCCTTTTCTATACTTATTCCTTTTATTTCTCTCTCTTATCTAATTGCCCTGGCTAAACTCTCCAGAACTATAAGGAGTAAGAGTGGTGACAGTGGACATCCTTTTCTTGTTCCTGATTTCAGAGGGAAAGCTTTTAGTTTTTGTCCATTTAGTGTTATGTTGGCTGTTGGTTTGTCATAGATAGCTTTTATCAGTTTGTTCGAGAGGGCTTTTTGTCAGATTGAGATAAAAACCTTCTATTCTAATTTTCTGTAACGTTTTTATTATGAATGGATGTTGGAATTTGTCAAAAGCTTTTTCTGCATCTGTTGAGATGATCATATGATTTTTGTCCTTTGCTCTGTTTATATGATGTATTACATTTATTGAATTGCTTATATTGAACTATCCCTGCATTTCTGGGATGAATCTTCTTGATGATTTGTTGCAAATGTTCTGTTTGCGAGTGTCTTACTGAGGATTATTGCATCTGTATTCATTAGGGAGACTGGCCTATAGTTCTCTTTCTTAGTTGGGTCTTTCTCTAGTTTTAGTATCAGTTTTATGCTTGCTTCCAGGAATGAATTTGGGAGTACTGCTTCCCTTTCAGTTTCATTAAAGAGGTTGAGAAGTAATGGTATTAGTTCTCTAAATTTCTCATGAAGGGGCTCGCCAGATAGCTCAGTGGACTAAAGCACCTGCTTAGGCAGAGCGCAGTGGCCAGGGTTGGATCCCTGGCTTGCCATGCCGGTCCTGTCCCCGGGGCGTGCTGAAACAGCGATTGAGACTAGGTGTGATGGTGTATGCCTGTAATCCCAGTGTTTGGGAGGCTGAAAACAGGAGATTCACTATGAGTTCAATCTACAGGGTCTATGTAGTGAGACCCTGTAAACCATGTACTAAATATAAATAAATAAATAAATAAATAAATAAATAAATAAATTTCTTATGGAATTTAGTAGTGAATTTGTCAGGACCTGGCCTTTTCTTTGTTGGTAAGTTTCTGATCACATTTTCAATTTCATTGACTGATAATGGTTTATTTAGAATTTTTATATCTTCTTGATTTCATCTTTGGTAATTCATATGTATCCGGAATCTGTTCATTCCTTCTTCATTTTCATCTTATTGGAGTGTAGGTATAGGGGATCTTCTGGATTTCTTCAGGATCCATTGTGATTTCAGCCTTTTCATTCCTAAATGTGTGGATGAGACTCTCTTCCTTCCATTTTTTCTTTCTTTTTTTGGTAAGATTTGTCAATTTTATTTAGTCTTTCAAAGAACCAACTCTTTGATTCATTGATTGTATTGTTTTCTTAGTCTGTATGCATTAGTTTCTACTCTGAACTTTATAATTTCCTCCCTCTTGTGAGCTCTGAGCTTGACTTCTTTTCCTAGAAGTGTAAGGTTGAATATTAAATTATTTATTTGAGCTCACTCTGTTTTCTTTTTTTTTGTTCCTCGAATGGCTTCAGGGCACTTTTGGCCAGCGGGAGAGTTGTGAGGTTCGAACTCCAGCAACCTGAGGCTGAGTGCTTTGTGGAAGCAGCCACTTAAAGGCCTGAGCTAGTGCCACGCCCCTCTGTTTTCTTTATATGGGTATTCGCTGCTATAAATTTCCTGTGTAGGGCTGCTGTCATTGTGTCCCAAAAATTCTAGTATGTTGTATTGGCATTATTGTTTAACTGTAGATACTGTCTAATTTCTTGTTTAATTTCATCTGTGACCAACTGGTTTTCATGAGGGTGTTATTTAATTTTCATGTGTTTATGAAGTTTTTGTGGTTTCTTTTGCCGTTCATTTCTAATTTCATTGCACTGTGGTCTGATATACATAGGCTAATTGCAGTTCCTTTGCATTCAGAAACTTCATATGTTTGTGAGCTTGTATGTAGTCTGTTTTAGTGCATGTGCTGTGTACTGCTGAGAAGAATGTATTCTGATGTTGTGGGACGAAATGCTCTGGAGACATCTACTAAGTCCATTTGTTCAAAAGTTTGAATAATACTTTTTAACTTGTTATTTTCTTTCTTTTTTTTTTTTTTTTTAAATATTTATTTATTTATTTATTTGTATGTGGCCAGCTCAGCCCACCAGGGGGCAGGCGGGCTGGCATGTGGTGCTGGGGGATTGAACCGAGGTCCCTGTGCCTTGCTTGGCTTAGCTTGTTCTAAGTAGGTGCCTTAGACCACTGAGCCATCTCACCAGCCCTAACTTGTTATTTTCATAGCAGCTTTCATTCTCAGAATAAGAAATCTTTTTTTTTTTTTTAATGTATTTTAGTTCAGAGTCTACAGGGTGTCACTACAGAGATGCTCTGCCTAAGCAGGTGCTTTAGTCTGCTGAGCTATCTGAGCAGCTCAAGACATCTCTTTTGATAAAGGGAAAATAAATGGAAAAGTAGGTGGTTTTAGTTTTTAATTTATTATTTTTATATATAGCGCTTATTCCACTGAGCTATCTTATCTCCCTGGCCCTGTTTTAGTTTTCTTCTAGGGAAAGCTAGGGACTATACCTAGGGATTGAACCCAGGACCTCATGCCTGCTAAGCAAGTGCTTTCCACTGAGCTACTCAGTTTATTCTTTTTTTTTTAGTTTATTCTTTTTTTTTTTTTTTTGTACTGGGGATTGAACTCAGGACCCTGTGCTTGCCAGGCAAGTGCTTATTCTGCTGAGCCATCTCCCCAGCCCTATTCATCCTGTACTTTGTTTGTTTGTTTGTTTGTTTGTTTGTTTTACAGAAGCTGGGGAGATAGCTCAGCAGCATAAGTGCCTCCCTGGCAAGCACAAGGTCCTGAGTTCAATCCCCTGGACTGAAAAAAAAAAAAAAAGAAAGGAATAAGATAGGAAAGATGGGGCAGGGGAGATGGCTCAGTGGAATAAG